CAATAGCATCAGTTAACTCTTCAAATCTTTCTACAAAGCTGGGGAGTACTGGTGGCCCAGCCGAAGCAAAGAGAAAAGACAGAACCGCAATAAGGTATCAGAAGAAAACTATGTGCTGGCGAGTTCTTCAGCTCAAGTTCAAGGCAAGGAGTCCCTTGAATACTCGATCTCACATGAAAAGAAATAAAGTTATTCATCTCAGAATATAGCTTCTCCTGGTTGCAGCAATGACTATTTTACATGAAGACTTAGGTAAAATGCAAACAAACAAATCCCACCATTTCTTATTACTTTAAATGAAGAGATGTGGAAAGTAAACAGTGACTCTCATACCTCATTTTGCCATCTATAATACACACTTTTTGCCCAAATTTTTGAGGAAAAAATAATGATGCGCATTATACATGGGTAGCACTGATTCCTTATGCATATAAATGTTTTTAATTCTTTTGTTTATGCTTATGCGTTAAAAGTGTAACTCTAGAAAGCAATCATGATATCCGTATGCAAAAATAATACCCTAGAATACAATAATGGGTTTTGTTTTTAGATATAAATAAACAAATAATGGAATTAAAAATTAAAACAAAAGATTTTTTTCCTGAAAGTTTGGGCCATAAATGTGGGCACGTATTATACATGAGAGCACATTCTACATGGCAAAATACAGTAGATGTTTTTTAGACTCAGCATTATTGCATTCACTAAGGTGACTTAACTGTGTTTATAATTCTTTGTGGCTGTTTCAGAAATCTTTCCATTTATGTTGCCATGAATCACTATGATGTTGTATAACATAGTTGTTAGAAACTCAGTTCGGCATAATCAACATCGTTACTCACTGAGATTTTCCTCTAAGATCAGGAGTTACCAAAACCAATCCATTAGCTGAGGATTCTAAAAAGAAAAACTTGTACCATTTCCTTTTAAATTTTAACCTATAATCTTGAAGACATGGAAATATCAAATTCAGCCTCCAAACCAAAATTCTACATGTCTACCAAATCATGTGACTAAAGTTTCAATACAGTTGAGTCTTTTCAAATTAAAGAATTTTTCAGTTGGAATATTTTAAAAAGCTGCTAATATCTATTTTTTAAAATCTTCCCTTTGATGAGCAAGCAACACATGAGGTGTTTGAACATGAAGTAGCTTAACATAGAAATATATATATGTAATTTTGATAATATTTTAGTGATTCAGGGTGGTTGACTATCAAATTGTATTAAAATCTCATCAAGGGCAATCTCAAAACACTTATTATGCTCCACAATTATTGTTAACCAAACAATTTAAATAAGAGGAGGAGATAATGACATTAACTCCTTAAAGCAATCCTCTGTGTCAGGATTTTAAAATATTCTCTTGGTCTGAAATTTATGTAAATTGAATTCATTTATCACTGGTTATTACCAGTCTAGCTACATTTTTCTTTAAAAAAGTTTTCTATAACAATTAGTTCTTACAAACACTATGTTTTAATTATACCTGGGACACTGTTAAACTAGCTATAAATAATATGTACACTATTTTATTTGGTATACCCAGAAGTCTGAAAATCAATAAGAATGCTCTTAGAGTTCTTTCTTCAAACAAAAGCCTTTCATTCAAAGTTTTAATGTAATCTGAAGTAAATACTCTTTTCAGATTCCATTATGTAAATACAAAAGAAATGGTCACTCATAACCAGGCATTAATTGTTGACTCAGTGTATGTCAACACTCACAGGAGTTAAGTCAGAGAAAGAGCCTTCATTTTTGCGTGTGTGTCCTTGGTCACACACACAAATCATGGCAGAGCTCGGACAAAACCCAGACAAGTTCTTTCTACCACATGACATAAGCATCTCATCTCATTTAATCCTCACCCCAACTGCCCGGGTTAGATACTCTCAGTATCTCAGTTTACATACAGGGACAATACAGTCAGGCTAGTATTCAGTCAAGTAAGGACTGAAACCCAGACAAATCTGACTCCATAAACCATAGTACTCCCCATAACCCTAAATTTTAAGAACAGGTAGATATTTTCCACTTACAAAGAAAACTCCCAAAAAACTCTAACAGTACCACCCTTTAAGAATAACAAAATATAACCTGAAGGTTATAATTCAAAATTAAAATAAGTCCTTTTCCCAAGCCTAATTCAGGCACCAACTTCTCCCTGAAGATTTCTCATATCAGTCAACGGAGATTAATCTCTTTCTTCAGACTCTTGACAACGGCCATATAGTGTTCCTACTCAGAAAGTGCTAGTTGCCTCTTAAGATCCATTTCCTTCCTCCTTAGTAACAGAAATCCAAATGCTAGCTTTTAGCAAACGGGTACCTGTCCGGGCCCCTCCAGTGGCTAGGTATGACCGTAGGGCTAAATTCTACAGGGAAGTATTACTAAGCATGGTGCTGAAATTCTAGGAATGCTTTTTTTTTTTTTTTTTTTAAAAAAAAAGCAGACTTTGCTTTTAGGGGAGCTCTTCTGTCCTTTTTCACTTCACCTTGCTCTCCAGGTATCTTTCTGGCTGGAGTGCCAGCCGCTGCCTTGGGTCACAAGGCAGCCTTGGGAAAGGAAGCTGCATGCTGTGGAGGGTGGAGGAGGGGAGAGGCGTCTCGGTCCAAAACGAGACCAGGAAGCCATTGTATCATACTTGCACAGCCTCCTCCAGACTTGACCCAAAAGAGAAATAAACCTTTATCTTGTACAAGTTGCTATTTTTTTTGTTGTTGTTAAATAAGCTGAACCCGATTCTAACTAATTTAGTTCAGACTCACACGTATTTTATATTCCATGGTTTATTGTAACTATGCTGGAGAAGGGGTGGGGGGGGAAGAAATAGAATTATTTCTTTTATAATGCTTGAACAAAAGTGTCTCCAATCACAATTTTCATTCTCAAACCCTTCCTGGTAATTTTCAACTTTGGGAAAGAAAAAGCAGGGACATTAAGTGGAAAGAAAGATGAAAAAAAAACAAATCCAAACCAACATACCCCACACCAGCACCTGTCTGGCATTGTTCTGCCATTTTCTCTCCTCTCTCCTCAGCGACCTAAGTCCTAACGCACTTCAAGGCCCAGCTCTGCGAGAACAAGCCTGTCCGACCGCTGAATTCAGAGTGCATATTCCCTCTGCCATTTGAAAGTACTATATCACACAGTAACATCTATTGTTTGACTTCTTTACTTCCACATCTTATTTCTTTTTGTATGTGTCAATTTCAAACCTAGAGGGACCCACGTCACATTTCTTTGCACCCCCTATAGCTACTAGAAAACCACCTCCATGTGGCAGGACATCAATAAATACTTTTGACTGATTAATTGAATGAAGATAAGGTAGAAGATGAAGAGAGGAAAAAGAGCAGAAAACTAAGTGAGAATGCACAGACTTTTTAGAAGTGAGAAAGCATAATAAAAATCCTGAAGATTCCCAAGACAAGTTTTACTTCTCTGGACCTTATGAAGGAAGTGGACCTTGTAGAACAAATACCACGATATGTTCATTGTTCACAGAGTGAAAACCTTAAATTATACCAAGTGAGCTTGTTTTCCAAATAAGAGACACTGTATTTTGCTTTAGTTACTCAGACAATTGTCTCAATCTATTTCTTAATTACCTTAGACATTTAAAAGAGTAAGAGATCCAGCTTGAGAAACCATGCTTTGATAGTGAATGTATAAGATTCCAAACCACATTAAAAAATTGGCTTCCAGCAAGATCATATTTAACCTATTATGCTGTCAGTTGTGACAACATACAGAAAATAATACTTGCACACATGCAATAATGACTTAAAATGCTATTGAGTTTAACATAAGTAGGTCAAGAGATCATTTCATTAAATAGACTCTTATCATCTCTTTTCTGAAACCCAATAACAATACAGCTTCAGGAATAACATTACTACTTCTTTAAAAATAAAATATATCCTAAACATATTTTGTAGGAGTTATGTAAGTAAAAGGTCTGTGACACTGAAACTTGAAAATCTGTATAGAAGTATGTAGAATACTCTGTAATAACACATTTAAAAGCTTTAACTACATTTAAATATATACAATAACAAGTGACATCAGGGACATTTTATACAGAAGCAATTGATATTTTGCCTAGACTCATGAACCAGTTTATACTCCACTCATTCTCAATTATTTGTACCACATATCTGCTAATAAGTTATGTACCTAAAATTACAGTATTCTAATTTATTTTTGTGAATTTAGCAAAGTTTTAGGAAGGGTATAAATAAAAATACTCAATGAACAGAAAATTCAGCTTCTTTCTCATTCATTCATAATACAAACCACGTCTTTTGTTACATCATCTATTTTAAAAATAATGATTAAAATACTAAAATACTATTAGCTATCATAATAGTATTAAAATACTATAAAATGCAATGTAATTACAATATATTATAATTGTAAGTATGAAAGTTGACCTATTTTAAATCTTTTTACATACAACTTATAGTTTGCCTATCAAAAATATTGCATTTTCTTGCAAATTACTCATTAGTTGTTTCTTCATTTCAAATTTTTTTCACATACATTTTTCAGAAGAAGCCAAGGCAGTAGCTTCTCTGACAATGAAATGTACAAAATAAATGACATGTCAACAAGTAAATTAGCATCCCCTTTCTGAGCAGCTGGGTCATGTTTCCTTTTCAAAATCCTCAGTCCCATGATACAAAATAATAATAATCTAAAAGACCTCATTAAATGATCGATATATTGACACAAGCTCTATAAAGAGACACATAGTGTTTTAATTGATTCCATGAATCCATTAAATGGAATATTAAACCCAAGTCTTCAAATTATATTGTTAAGAGAAAATTTTCTTTATTAACTATTTTTTTCCAGGTTGTAGACAATGGAGCATAAAAGATTAAAAAACTCTTGTATTTATCCATATAGTAAAACAAGTCCAATATCACTACATTTTTCATACAAATGGTATCACAACAAAAGTTATAATAGACAAGTTAAACCATGTTTACTTACCAAAAAACTTCCAAAGGCTGAATTAAATATTGCTGCTGCCTATAGAGAAAATAAATGGGGGAAAAACTCGCTGAAGGTGAATAGGAAAAGGAAAAACAAAGAGTATCATCGTCCCATCCCCCACTCTTCAAAAATCTGAAAACATTGACTCTATAAGGCAAAGTTAGTCACTGCTTACAAAAATTGCCAGTGGCCTATAGTTTACTAAGATAGATGAGCTGCAGCTTAGGAATTCATAAATAATGTTTCTCAAAAGCAAGCAGACAAGGCTTGCCACGAGATGCTCTGAACTGGGTGGCAGTACCTAAGACCTGCGGCCAACAGAAAACTGAAGCCTTATTGTTACCGATTTTGCTACTAGAGTTAAAACAATCAGAGGGTGATTTATTCCTTAAAAATTTCATATTACTTGGAAAGGAAACCCAGAATTTTTAAGAAAGCATTAACTACTCTCTATCAGGGAGCCTAAGTCCTAGGAGATCCCCGCAAAGTGAGACTGGTGGTTTCCATACAGCACACATTAAAACTACGAACAATGTTTTAAGACCATGGACGTTATTGCTATTCCATTCATTCTACAGTAGAAACAAGCAAGGAAAACTTCTATTGGGCGTTCAAAGTTCAAAGAAGAAACATTTGACTCGGCTTACCTAAATGTCCAGGGAACACAAAGTAGAGGTAATACAGCTCTTAACTTTAAATCAATCTCTGTATTCCATGAAGCTACACTTGAATCCTAAAAGCATTTCACATTATTCAAAAAAGGATAGGAAGTTGTATAACATCCAATTTGATGAAAGACAGGAGAAAGAAAGGAAAAAAAAAAACAATAAAAGGCAAAAGGAGGGGTAGAGAAACCCTACTGACATCGCCTGCAGATCCAGAGCAGAATTAAGTTAATCATCATGGACATTAGCAGCCACATCATAGTAAGAAGACGATGTCAGTTTAGCAAGTTTGAACCAAGTCCAAAGCAAGCTAAGAGCTGTAGCTGAAAATGCCTTCTGCTCCAGAAGAGGATGCAATGAGAGTGCATGGGTAATGAGATCCTTGGCTCCAGAGAGCTTAGCTCTCCTGTTCAAGTTCATAATTAATTCAAAGCTTTGATAATTTCATTAGATTTCTCCTTTGCTGGCCCCATCAATAAAAGATGGCACTGGACCACACCCCCTCTGTGGCATACGTACAGGCACAGGCCAGGGGAGCCTTTGCTCCCTGACAGGGGCAATGGCATACGGTGTTCCATGTTGTGCCGGGAGCAGGGAAAAAGAAATAGAGATTTGGCTAAATAAAACATTGCAGACGACAACTGTAAACTAGAGCAACATAAACGTATCTCCCTGAAACTCTGTTACGGATGATTCAGGAAAAAAGTTTTATATGTTGAGCAAAATGAGAAAAAAGGTATAAACAAATGAGTTGTGCTGAGATCAACAGGGAACACTGCCTTCCTTTCTACAAAAATGCACCTCCCTCACAAACAATGTTTATTTCCGGATCCTAATTTTGTGCTTAAAATGGACTGATCTCTATTTTTAGTAAAGAAATGAAGTCTTCCCCTTTGAGCTCCTCTCTTCCAAATTTGCTTCTTTCCAGTGCCTGTCACCAACCGTATGCTAGATAACTAACAGTTTTGCTTAGCATAAAAAAATAAAAAATAAAAAAAATGGGTGCTTAGAGATAAAAAGCCTTAGAAGTACAATAAATGTCAATTACTACTCATCAGACCAAATCATCACACTGGCGCTCTATCCAGTTCTCTTCTTAAACCCAAATACAGAAATATATTTCATATGATTGGCTATGTTCCTGCATTTTATAAAGTTACAGTGGTATCTTAGGTGCCCAAAGATGGGTAGGCCAACTTATTCTAAGCTGTTTTTCTGACAGAGGTGATAGACTGAACTCACTCACCTGCACTACACTCAGCCCTTCCATGCAGTGAGATCGGGGCGATCACTGGGAAAAGCTTTGGATACTCTGAAGAGTCACGTAAAATCAGACACTAAATCAAGAATCTAGGGCTCAATATCAATAGATAATTAAGCTCCTAGTGGCTCCATCCCGCACTTGAGCATATGAAGGAACTATGTCTCCCGGAGTTCCCAAGAGTGATGATAAATATTCATAGAGTATTTACTGATACACAAGGGACATGGGTGTCTTCTGACTTAATGTGGAATCCCCAGCTCCTTAGCATGACATACAAAAGGCTCTCCATAAACAGGTCTCTGTCTGGAGAGAGATCTCATTTCCTGCCTCAAATTTTATATTCTGACAATTCCCCAAACTCACTGCGCTGCTGCTTCCCCCTTTCCTCCCCGGCCCGGACACCCTTCTCTACCACGTTCCCTTCCTCCACCACTGATCTCAGCAGCTCTGCTCCGGCATCGACCTTCCAGCAAGATTTCAGTCGCCTCCTCCCCCTCCACACCCACACCCACACCCACACCCACACACACACACCCCCCCACACACACACTCACAGCCCGTGACACTGCTGGGTGGACTCAGTGTCCCCAGGCCTGCTGCCACAACACCCCGAGCCCACCGTGGCCACACTATGGAAATGAGCCGTCTGCGCGGCTCCCTGCCCCGCGGCAGGCTCAAGTCTTCCAAGGGAGCAACCTGATGAAGCTCACCCTAAGTACTTGCGTGTTTGTTATATGGATTGCTGAAGTAGAAGGAATTCCCAGAAACACTCAAAGTCTTCTTTACCTGCTCAGTTACCCCATGTGTCCGGCAGAATCCAAGGACTGGAAGGCACAGAGGACTGTGTCTAACCAAGTCGCAACTGAGCGACAGCAATGGCAGATTTAGACTGCAGTCTCCCACCTGATAGGAGTGTCTCTGACATCTTGTTTTACTTCCTGTCACCTCCTGACTATGATCCAGTGACACATATATGCTTAGCTTAAGTAATGTTTTAAAATTTACCACTGCTATAAAGTAATAGAGTTAGTTAAGTGAACTCTAGAATTACCAAGGAATGCGACGCAGCCATTAAAAGAAAGATGATTTGCTTACACTGATATGAAAGCACGCTGATCTTCCAAGTGAAAAAGCAAGTTTCAAAACAGTATGTACAATTCCTTCAATAGGTTTTTTTCCCCACAACAAGCAATTCTCAGGCACCTGCTGGGTGCACTACAATTCAACTCAATTTTGCCACTATCCGCCTGAAACAAGCGTCAGCTCCCACAAGTCAAGGGCTCAGTCCCACAAGACTGTCCCCATTTTGGACGTCAATCACAAGTCCAACTTGTCTCCTGTGCTCCTGGTCAACTGGCTCGAAATCAAAGCTTCCCACAACCCCATCTCTGAGTTTGATTCATTTGCTAGGGCAGCTCACAGGACTCAGGATACCAGTTTACTCACTAGATTACTGCTGTATTACAAAAGGATATGGCCCACGGGCAGCCAGGAGAAAGAGATGCAGAGGGCAAGGTGTGGGAAAGGGGACAGAGCTCTCTGTCCTCTCAGTGCATCAAGTACATATTATTATAAATCACAATATCACATTCTGATTGTGTGAATATTTACACACATACATACACATATAGAAGCACTTTTTTTTCTAAAAAGGATCGTAAAAACTCCTAACTCTGGTTAAATGTGTTGAATGGGATTGCGTGAGGGTCATTTTTATTTTTCATTTTGTTCTCTGTCTGTCCTGTTTGGCTTTTGTTTCTAACATGTTAACTTCTCTATATTTCACAAGAGCTATCTGGCCAGGGAGATGTTCAGCCATGTATTGTTTGTGTTTTAAATTCCTTTGTGTTAAAATGTAATAAATGTTTCATTTTAAAATGAAATTAAGATTTCAGTCCCTACTTTGTGCACCAGCGGTACCCCCTGCAGGCTGCCTGATGAGCTGGGGGGTGGACTCCCTCTGGCGCACGTCGCTGCGCTGGGGATGACAGGCCACAGGACACACCTGGGCCTCTTTCAGGAGCATCTCTAGGGTGTGAATATGTGGTTTTGAAAGTAACCCCCAAATCCACTATTACTTTTGTATTAAAACAAACATGGCTAAAGAGAATACAAACCTTATGAACTGATATCAAACGTGAATCACCACAGGCAATTTGTTCTGAAGGCAGAGCCCTTCAGGTTATACGAGCAGGCTCCCTGTGGATGTGAGTTTCCCCTCCGCGGCCCACCAGAAGCTGTACCTGAGACAGTTCGCTGATTTTTAAATACAGCATTTCATTGATCTCTTTTGCTAGGAACAATTTAATTACCTATTCCCTGCCTAGACTGCTCCATTCTACAAGAATGTTCCATGAAAGCAAGTCATACAAGATTGTATACCCAGTGCCTAGAAGAGCCTCTGGCTCGTAGTAGGCCCTCTATAAGCATTAATAAGTGAATGAATGAATGAATACTTCTGTGCTAACTGAATGTCCTGCACAGTAATGTTTTCATTAATGAACTCATGAAACCCATCTGCAAAGTGTATGCTTTGGTGCAATCACATTTGAAGGATAATTAGATCAATGCTAACTAAAAAAAAAAAAAAAAAAAAAAAAAAGTCCATATTGAGGTGATTTTTTAATACTGTGTAGATTGGCTTCCTTTATATTACACATTTTTAGATAATATATTGCTTTTAGTATCAGCCCAATTTTACCCAATTTATGGTATTTTACTAATGTTTCATTATATATTATACAGCTTGTCTTTATTAAATTATTTTGGAAAATTGAGCAAGTTCCATAACGAATTAATTTCTTCATAACTTTGGAATTATTGGAAATAAAGAGGAAAATTTTTTAAAAACCTGAAAACAACAGGGACAGAGAGTCCTCTGACTCATAAAAGCAAGTTTTCCCATTGCTGAATGCTTTAAAATGCTATGAAGCTCACCCTACGGTAAGGCCCAAACCTTCACCTTCCTCAACTGCCCTGCATGGACCACATTCCACGCTCTGGAGTTACATACATTTGGAACCCTTTTTTAAATTATTGCACTTCAAATATATGAACACTGCTGGGTGCCACCTAACTCTTCTCTTCTAAAACTACATCTAAAACTT